GTACTTGATGAGGTTTCTGTGGTTGACTCAGATGGACTCAATAGAGCATTAGTTGTTAATTCAGATAGATCAGACAAGTTCTCTGTTGTTGATTCTAATGAACTTGACATTGAGAAGGTGGATGATTGGATTGTAGAAGATGGCGCATCTGTGCTTGATTCAGGTGAACTTGAAAGTGAGATTGTGCTTGATTCAGGTAAATTTGATGGTGTGTTAGATTGAGATTCACTTGTTGATATGTCTACGGTCGAGTCAGATGGACTGGAATGTAAGTATGTGGTCGATATACTAACAGTAGATGATATATCCATACTTGATTCAGAGGTGCTGGGCCAGTTCTCTGTGGTTGATTTAAATGAGGTTGAAGTTGAAAGTGGGTTTGACTCAGATGGACTTGTTAATGCATCTGTGCTTGATTCTGGTGTAGACTGAGGTGAAAATGAGAGTGAATCTGTGGTTATGTCAGATGGCATAGACAGTGCAATTGTTGTTGATTGAAATGGACTAGACAATTTATCTGTGTTGGATTCAGATGGATTGAACGCTGAATCTGTAGTTGATTCAGGTATATTTGATTGTGTGGTGATGGTTGGTTGAGATTCAATGGGCAATGCATCTGTGGTAGATTCAGAAGGACCAGAAAAGTCAACTGGTGTTGTTCCAGATGATGTTGATGAGGTGTCTGTACCTAATCCATCTGGACTTGATGGGGTATAAGCTATTGACTCAGATTCAGCAGATGATGTCTTGGTGGTTGATTCAAATGGCGATGACATTTCTAGAGTTGTAGATATATAAGAATTTGATAGGGTGAGTGTGGTTGACTCTGATGCACTGGAAAATGAACCAGTTGTTGATTCAATTGGACTAGATGGTTTATTAGTGTTTGAATCAGATGGGCTAAAGGATGAATCAGCGATTGTTTCTGGTGTATTGGCTAGTGTGGTTATGGTTGAATCAGCAACAGTGTATGATGCATCTGAGGTAGATTCAGATAAAGTTGAAGTTGTTGATTCAATAGTACTTGATCGGGTTCCTGTGGTTGATTCAGATGGACTCAATAGAGCATTAGTTGTTAATTCAGATAGATCAGACAAGTTCTCTGTTGTTGATTCTAATGAACTTGACATTGAGTAGGTGGTTGATTGGATTGTAGAAGATGGCGCATCTGTGCTTGATTCAGGTGAACTTGAAAGTGAGATTGTGCTTGATTCAGGTAAATTTGATGGTGTGTTAGATTGAGATTCACTTGTTGATATGTCTACGGTCGAGTCAGATGGACTGGAATGTAAGTATGTGGTCGATATACTAACAGTAGATGATATATCCATACTTGATTCAGAGGTGCTGGGCCAGTTCTCTGTGGTTGATTTAAATGAGGTTGAAGTTGAAAGTGGGTTTGACTCAGATGGACTTGTTAATGCATCTGTGCTTGATTCTGGTGTAGACTGAGGTGGAAATGAGAGTGAATCTGTGGTTATGTCAGATGGCATAGACAGTGCAATTGTTGTTGATTGAAATGTACTAGACAATTTATCTGTGTTGGATTCAGATGGATTGAACGCTGAATCTGTAGTTGATTCAGGTATATTTGATTGTGTGGTGATGGTTGGTTGAGATTCAATGGGCAATGCATCTGTGGTAGATTCAGAAGGACCAGAAAAGTCAACTGGTGTTGTTCCAGATGATGTTGATGAGGTGTCTGTACCTAATCCATCTGGACTTGATGGGGTATAAGCTATTGACTCAGATTCAGCAGATGATGTCTTGGTGGTTGATTCAAATGGCGATGACATTTCTAGAGTTGTAGATATATAAGAATTTGATAGGGTGAGTGTGGTTGACTCTGATGCACTGGAAAATGAACCAGTTGTTGATTCAATTGGACTAGATGGTTTATTAGTGTTTGAATCAGATGGGCTAAAGGATGAATCAGCGATTGTTTCTGGTGTATTGGCTAGTGTGGTTATGGTTGAATCAGCAACAGTGTATGATGCATCTGAGGTAGATTCAGATAAAGTTGAAGTTGTTGATTCAATAGTACTTGATCGGGTTCCTGTGGTTGATTCAGATGGACTCAATAGAGCATTAGTTGTTAATTCAGATAGATCAGACAAGTTCTCTGTTGTTGATTCTAATGAACTTGACATTGAGTAGGTGGTTGATTGGATTGTAGAAGGTGGCGCATCTGTGCTTGATTCAGGTGAACTTGAAAGTGAGATTGTGCTTGATTCAGGTAAATTTGATGGGGTGTTAGATTGAGATTCACTTGTTGATATATCTACGGTCGAGTCAGATGGACTGGAATGTAAGTATGTGGTCGATATACTAACAGTAGATGATATATCCATACTTGATTCAGAGGTGCTGGGCCAGTTCTCTGTGGTAGATTTAAATGAGGTTGAAGTTGAAAGTGGGTTTGACTCAGATGGACTTGTTAATGCATCTGTGCTTGATTCTGGTGTAGACTGAGGTGGAAATGAGAGTGAATCTGTGGTTATGTCAGATGGCATAGACAGTGCAATTGTTGTTGATTGAAATGGACTAGACAATTTATCTGTGTTGGATTCAGATGGATTGATCGCTGAATCTGTAGTTGATTCAGGTATATTTGATTGTGTGGTGATGGTTGGTTGAGATTCAATGGGCAATGCATCTGTGGTAGATTCAAAAGGACCAGAAAAGTCAAATGGTGTTGTTCCAGATGATGTTGATGAGGTGTCTGTACCTAATCCATCTGGACTTGATGGGGTGATGAGATTTGACTCAATGCAGCAGTGATGTCTTGGATGATTCAGCGCTGGTGTATTTCTAGATGGTTGAAGAGCAGAACTTTCATGATGTATTCAAATGATGGAGTTGTAGATATCTCTGATGCACTGGAAAATGAACCAGTTGTTGATTCAATTGGACTAGATGGTTTATTAGTGTTTGAATCAGATGGGCTAAAGGATGAATCAGCGATTGTTTCTGGTGTATTGGCTAGTGTGGTTATGGTTGAATCAGCAACAGTGTATGATGCATCTGAGGTAGATTCAGATAAAGTTGAAGTTGTTGATTCAATAGTACTTGATCGGGTTCCTGTGGTTGACTCAGATGGACTCAATAGAGCATTAGTTGTTAATTCAGATAGATCAGACAAGTTCTCTGTTGTTGATTCTAATGAACTTGACATTGAGTAGGTGGTTGATTGGATTGTAGAAGATGGCGCATCTGTGCTTGATTCAGGTGAACTTGAAAGTGAGATTGTGCTTGATTCAGGTAAATTTGATGGTGTGTTAGATTGAGATTCACTTGTTGATATGTCTGCGGTCGAGTCAGATGGACTGGAATGTAAGTATGTGGTCGATATACTAACAGTAGATGATATATCCATACTTGATTCAGAGGTGCTGGGCCAGTTCTCTGTGGTTGATTTAAATGAGGTTGAAGTTGAAAGTGGGTTTGACTCAGATGGACTTGTTAATGCATCTGTGCTTGATTCTGGTGTAGACTGAGGTGGAAATGAGAGTGAATCTGTGGTTATGTCAGATGGCATAGACAGTGCAATTGTTGTTGATTGAAATGTACTAGACAATTTATCTGTGTTGGATTCAGATGGATTGAACGCTGAATCTGTAGTTGATTCAGGTATATTTGATTGTGTGGTGATGGTTGGTTGAGATTCAATGGGCAATGCATCTGTGGTAGATTCAGAAGGACCAGAAAAGTCAACTGGTGTTGTTCCAGATGATGTTGATGAGGTGTCTGTACCTAATCCATCTGGACTTGATGGGGTATAAGCTATTGACTCAGATTCAGCAGATGATGTCTTGGTGGTTGATTCAAATGGCGATGACATTTCTAGAGTTGTAGATATATAAGAATTTGATAGGGTGAGTGTGGTTGACTCTGATGCACTGGAAAATGAACCAGTTGTTGATTCAATTGGACTAGATGGTTTATTAGTGTTTGAATCAGATGGGCTAAAGGATGAATCAGCGATTGTTTCTGGTGTATTGGCTAGTGTGGTTATGGTTGAATCAGCAACAGTGTATGATGCATCTGAGGTAGATTCAGATAAAGTTGAAGTTGTTGATTCAATAGTACTTGATCGGGTTCCTGTGGTTGACTCAGATGGACTCAATAGAGCATTAGTTGTTAATTCAGATAGATCAGACAAGTTCTCTGTTGTTGATTCTAATGAACTTGACATTGAGTAGGTGGTTGATTGGATTGTAGAAGATGGCGCATCTGTGCTTGATTCAGGTGAACTTGAAAGTGAGATTGTGCTTGATTCAGGTAAATTTGATGGTGTGTTAGATTGAGATTCACTTGTTGATATATCTACGGTCGAGTCAGATGGACTGGAATGTAAGTATGTGGTCGATATACTAACAGTAGATGATATATCCATACTTGATTCAGAGGTGCTGGGCCAGTTCTCTGTGGTTGATTTAAATGAGGTTGAAGTTGAAAGTGGGTTTGACTCAGATGGACTTGTTAATGCATCTGTGCTTGATTCTGGTGTAGACTGAGGTGGAAATGAGAGTGAATCTGTGGTTATGTCAGATGGCATAGACAGTGCAATTGTTGTTGATTGAAATGTACTAGACAATTTATCTGTGTTGGATTCAGATGGATTGAACGCTGAATCTGTAGTTGATTCAGGTATATTTGATTGTGTGGTGATGGTTGGTTGAGATTCAATGGGCAATGCATCTGTGGTAGATTCAGAAGGACCAGAAAAGTCAACTGGTGTTGTTCCAGATGATGTTGATGAGGTGTCTGTACCTAATCCATCTGGACTTGATGGGGTATAAGCTATTGACTCAGATTCAGCAGATGATGTCTTGGTGGTTGATTCAAATGGCGATGACATTTCTAGAGTTGTAGATATATAAGAATTTGATAGGGTGAGTGTGGTTGACTCTGATGCACTGGAAAATGAACCAGTTGTTGATTCAATTGGACTAGATGGTTTATTAGTGTTTGAATCAGATGGGCTAAAGGATGAATCAGCGATTGTTTCTGGTGTATTGGCTAGTGTGGTTATGGTTGAATCAGCAACAGTGTATGATGCATCTGAGGTAGATTCAGATAAAGTTGAAGTTGTTGATTCAATAGTACTTGATCGGGTTCCTGTGGTTGACTCAGATGGACTCAATAGAGCATTAGTTGTTAATTCAGATAGATCAGACAAGTTCTCTGTTGTTGATTCTAATGAACTTGACATTGAGTAGGTGGTTGATTGGATTGTAGAAGATGGCGCATCTGTGCTTGATTCAGGTGAACTTGAAAGTGAGATTGTGCTTGATTCAGGTAAATTTGATGGGGTGTTAGATTGAGATTCACTTGTTGATATATCTACGGTCGAGTCAGATGGACTGGAATGTAAGTATGTGGTCGATATACTAACAGTAGATGATATATCCATACTTGATTCAGAGGTGCTGGGCCAGTTCTCTGTGGTTGATTTAAATGAGGTTGAAGTTGAAAGTGGGTTTGACTCAGATGGACTTGTTAATGCATCTGTGCTTGATTCTGGTGTAGACTGAGGTGGAAATGAGAGTGAATCTGTGGTTATGTCAGATGGCATAGACAGTGCAATTGTTGTTGATTGAAATGTACTAGACAATTTATCTGTGTTGGATTCAGATGGATTGAACGCTGAATCTGTAGTTGATTCAGGTATATTTGATTGTGTGGTGATGGTTGGTTGAGATTCAATGGGCAATGCATCTGTGGTAGATTCAGAAGGACCAGAAAAGTCAACTGGTGTTGTTCCAGATGATGTTGATGAGGTGTCTGTACCTAATCCATCTGGACTTGATGGGGTATAAGCTATTGACTCAGATTCAGCAGATGATGTCTTGGTGGTTGATTCAAATGGCGATGACATTTCTAGAGTTGTAGATATATAAGAATTTGATAGGGTGAGTGTGGTTGACTCTGATGCACTGGAAAATGAACCAGTTGTTGATTCAATTGGACTAGATGGTTTATTAGTGTTTGAATCAGATGGGCTAAAGGATGAATCAGCGATTGTTTCTGGTGTATTGGCTAGTGTGGTTATGGTTGAATCAGCAACAGTGTATGATGCATCTGAGGTAGATTCAGATAAAGTTGAAGTTGTTGATTCAATAGTACTTGATCGGGTTCCTGTGGTTGATTCAGATGGACTCAATAGAGCATTAGTTGTTAATTCAGATAGATCAGACAAGTTCTCTGTTGTTGATTCTAATGAACTTGACATTGAGTAGGTGGTTGATTGGATTATAGAAGATGGCGCATCTGTGCTTGATTCAGGTGAACTTGAAAGTGAGATTGTGCTTGATTCAGGTAAATTTGATGGTGTGTTAGATTGAGATTCACTTGTTGATATGTCTGCGGTCGAGTCAGATGGACTGGAATGTAAGTATGTGGTCGATATACTAACAGTAGATGATATATCCATACTTGATTCAGAGGTGCTGGGCCAGTTCTCTGTGGTTGATTTAAATGAGGTTGAAGTTGAAAGTGGGTTTGACTCAGATGGACTTGTTAATGCATCTGTGCTTGATTCTGGTGTAGACTGAGGTGGAAATGAGAGTGAATCTGTGGTTATGTCAGATGGCATAGACAGTGCAATTGTTGTTGATTGAAATGTACTAGACAATTTATCTGTGTTGGATTCAGATGGATTGAACGCTGAATCTGTAGTTGATTCAGGTATATTTGATTGTGTGGTGATGGTTGGTTGAGATTCAATGGGCAATGCATCTGTGGTAGATTCAGAAGGACCAGAAAAGTCAACTGGTGTTGTTCCAGATGATGTTGATGAGGTGTCTGTACCTAATCCATCTGGACTTGATGGGGTATAAGCTATTGACTCAGATTCAGCAGATGATGTCTTGGTGGTTGATTCAAATGGCGATGACATTTCTAGAGTTGTAGATATATAAGAATTTGATAGGGTGAGTGTGGTTGACTCTGATGCACTGGAAAATGAACCAGTTGTTGATTCAATTGGACTAGATGGTTTATTAGTGTTTGAATCAGATGGGCTAAAGGATGAATCAGCGATTGTTTCTGGTGTATTGGCTAGTGTGGTTATGGTTGAATCAGCAACAGTGTATGATGCATCTGAGGTAGATTCAGATAAAGTTGAAGTTGTTGATTCAATAGTACTTGATCGGGTTCCTGTGGTTGACTCAGATGGACTCAATAGAGCATTAGTTGTTAATTCAGATAGATCAGACAAGTTCTCTGTTGTTGATTCTAATGAACTTGACATTGAGTAGGTGGTTGATTGGATTGTAGAAGGTGGCGCATCTGTGCTTGATTCAGGTGAACTTGAAAGTGAGATTGTGCTTGATTCAGGTAAATTTGATGGGGTGTTAGATTGAGATTCACTTGTTGATATATCTACGGTCGAGTCAGATGGACTGGAATGTAAGTATGTGGTCGATATACTAACAGTAGATGATATATCCATACTTGATTCAGAGGTGCTGGGCCAGTTCTCTGTGGTAGATTTAAATGAGGTTGAAGTTGAAAGTGGGTTTGACTCAGATGGACTTGTTAATGCATCTGTGCTTGATTCTGGTGTAGACTGAGGTGGAAATGAGAGTGAATCTGTGGTTATGTCAGATGGCATAGACAGTGCAATTGTTGTTGATTGAAATGTACTAGACAATTTATCTGTGTTGGATTCAGATGGATTGAACGCTGAATCTGTAGTTGATTCAGGTATATTTGATTGTGTGGTGATGGTTGGTTGAGATTCAATGGGCAATGCATCTGTGGTAGATTCAGAAGGACCAGAAAAGTCAACTGGTGTTGTTCCAGATGATGTTGATGAGGTGTCTGTACCTAATCCATCTGGACTTGATGGGGTATAAGCTATTGACTCAGATTCAGCAGATGATGTCTTGGTGGTTGATTCAAATGGCGATGACATTTCTAGAGTTGTAGATATATAAGAATTTGATAGGGTGAGTGTGGTTGACTCTGATGCACTGGAAAATGAACCAGTTGTTGATTCAATTGGACTAGATGGTTTATTAGTGTTTGAATCAGATGGGCTAAAGGATGAATCAGCGATTGTTTCTGGTGTATTGGCTAGTGTGGTTATGGTTGAATCAGCAACAGTGTATGATGCATCTGAGGTAGATTCAGATAAAGTTGAAGTTGTTGATTCAATAGTACTTGATCGGGTTCCTGTGGTTGATTCAGATGGACTCAATAGAGCATTAGTTGTTAATTCAGATAGATCAGACAAGTTCTCTGTTGTTGATTCTAATGAACTTGACATTGAGTAGGTGGTTGATTGGATTATAGAAGATGGCGCATCTGTGCTTGATTCAGGTGAACTTGAAAGTGAGATTGTGCTTGATTCAGGTAAATTTGATGGTGTGTTAGATTGAGATTCACTTGTTGATATGTCTGCGGTCGAGTCAGATGGACTGGAATGTAAGTATGTGGTCGATATACTAACAGTAGATGATATATCCATACTTGATTCAGAGGTGCTGGGCCAGTTCTCTGTGGTTGATTTAAATGAGGTTGAAGTTGAAAGTGGGTTTGACTCAGATGGACTTGTTAATGCATCTGTGCTTGATTCTGGTGTAGATTGAGGTGGAAATGAGAGTGAATCTGTGGTTATGTCAGATGGCATAGACAGTGCAATTGTTGTTGATTGAAATGTACTAGACAATTTATCTGTGTTGGATTCAGATGGATTGAACGCTGAATCTGTAGTTGATTCAGGTATATTTGATTGTGTGGTGATGGTTGGTTGAGATTCAATGGGCAATGCATCTGTGGTAGATTCAGAAGGACCAGAAAAGTCAACTGGTGTTGTTCCAGATGATGTTGATGAGGTGTCTGTACCTAATCCATCTGGACTTGATGGGGTATAAGCTATTGACTCAGATTCAGCAGATGATGTCTTGGTGGTTGATTCAAATGGCGATGACATTTCTAGAGTTGTAGATATATAAGAATTTGATAGGGTGAGTGTGGTTGACTCTGATGCACTGGAAAATGAACCAGTTGTTGATTCAATTGGACTAGATGGTTTATTAGTGTTTGAATCAGATGGGCTAAAGGATGAATCAGCGATTGTTTCTGGTGTATTGGCTAGTGTGGTTATGGTTGAATCAGCAACAGTGTATGATGCATCTGAGGTAGATTCAGATAAAGTTGAAGTTGTTGATTCAATAGTACTTGATCGGGTTCCTGTGGTTGACTCAGATGGACTCAATAGAGCATTAGTTGTTAATTCAGATAGATCAGACAAGTTCTCTGTTGTTGATTCTAATGAACTTGACATTGAGTAGGTGGTTGATTGGATTGTAGAAGATGGCGCATCTGTGCTTGATTCAGGTGAACTTGAAAGTGAGATTGTGCTTGATTCAGGTAAATTTGATGGTGTGTTAGATTGAGATTCACTTGTTGATATATCTACGGTCGAGTCAGATGGACTGGAATGTAAGTATGTGGTCGATATACTAACAGTAGATGATATATCCATACTTGATTCAGAGGTGCTGGGCCAGTTCTCTGTGGTAGATTTAAATGAGGTTGAAGTTGAAAGTGGGTTTGACTCAGATGGACTTGTTAATGCATCTGTGCTTGATTCTGGTGTAGACTGAGGTGGAAATGAGAGTGAATCTGTGGTTATGTCAGATGGCATAGACAGTGCAATTGTTGTTGATTGAAATGGACTAGACAATTTATCTGTGTTGGATTCAGATGGATTGATCGCTGAATCTGTAGTTGATTCAGGTATATTTGATTGTGTGGTGATGGTTGGTTGAGATTCAATGGGCAATGCATCTGTGGTAGATTCAGAAGGACCAGAAAAGTCAACTGGTGTTGTTCCAGATGATGTTGATGAGGTGTCTGTACCTAATCCATCTGGACTTGATGGGGTATAAGCTATTGACTCAGATTCAGCAGATGATGTCTTGGTGGTTGATTCAAATGGCGATGACATTTCTAGAGTTGTAGATATATAAGAATTTGATAGGGTGAGTGTGGTTGACTCTGATGCACTGGAAAATGAACCAGTTGTTGATTCAATTGGACTAGATGGTTTATTAGTGTTTGAATCAGATGGGCTAAAGGATGAATCAGCGATTGTTTCTGGTGTATTGGCTAGTGTGGTTATGGTTGAATCAGAAACAGTGTATGATGCATCTGAGGTAGATTCAGATAAAGTTGAAGTTGTTGATTCAATAGTACTTGATCGGGTTCCTGTGGTTGACTCAGATGGACTCAATAGAGCATTAGTTGTTAATTCAGATAGATCAGACAAGTTCTCTGTTGTTGATTCTAATGAACTTGACATTGAGTAGGTGGTTGATTGGATTGTAGAAGATGGCGCATCTGTGCTTGATTCAGGTGAACTTGAAAGTGAGATTGTGCTTGATTCAGGTAAATTTGATGGTGTGTTAGATTGAGATTCACTTGTTGATATATCTTACGGTCGAGTCAGATGGACTGGAATGTAAGTATGTGGTCGATATACTAACAGTAGATGATATATCCATACTTGATTCAGAGGTGCTGGGCCAGTTCTCTGTGGTAGATTTAAATGAGGTTGAAGTTGAAAGTGGGTTTGACTCAGATGGACTTGTTAATGCATCTGTGCTTGATTCTGGTGTAGACTGAGGTGGAAATGAGAGTGAATCTGTGGTTATGTCAGATGGCATAGACAGTGCAATTGTTGTTGATTGAAATGGACTAGACAATTTATCTGTGTTGGATTCAGATGGATTGAACGCTGAATCTGTAGTTGATTCAGGTATATTTGATTGTGTGGTGATGGTTGGTTGAGATTCAATGGGCAATGCATCTGTGGTAGATTCAGAAGGACCAGAAAAGTCAACTGGTGTTGTTCCAGATGATGTTGATGAGGTGTCTGTACCTAATCCATCTGGACTTGATGGGGTATAAGCTATTGACTCAGATTCAGCAGATGATGTCTTGGTGGTTGATTCAAATGGCGATGACATTTCTAGAGTTGTAGATATATAAGAATTTGATAGGGTGAGTGTGGTTGACTCTGATGCACTGGAAAATGAACCAGTTGTTGATTCAATTGGACTAGATGGTTTATTGGTGTTTGAATCAGATGGGCTAAAGGATGAATCAGCGATTGTTTCTGGTGTATTGGCTAGTGTGGTTATGGTTGAATCAGAAACAGTGTATGATGCATCTGAGGTAGATTCAGATAAAGTTGAAGTTGTTGATTCAATAGTACTTGATCGGGTTCCTGTGGTTGACTCAGATGGACTCAATAGAGCATTAGTTGTTAATTCAGATAGATCAGACAAGTTCTCTGTTGTTGATTCTAATGAACTTGACATTGAGTAGGTGGTTGATTGGATTGTAGAAGATGGCGCATCTGTGCTTGATTCAGGTGAACTTGAAAGTGAGATTGTGCTTGATTCAGGTAAATTTGATGGTGTGTTAGATTGAGATTCACTTGTTGATATATCTACGGTCGAGTCAGATGGACTGGAATGTAAGTATGTGGTCGATATACTAACAGTAGATGATATATCCATACTTGATTCAGAGGTGCTGGGCCAGTTCTCTGTGGTAGATTTAAATGAGGTTGAAGTTGAAAGTGGGTTTGACTCAGATGGACTTGTTAATGCATCTGTGCTTGATTCTGGTGTAGACTGAGGTGGAAATGAGAGTGAATCTGTGGTTATGTCAGATGGCATAGACAGTGCATATATTTGCGTATATTTGATTGTGTGGTGATGGTTGGTTGAGATTCAATGGGCAATGCATCTGTGGTAGATTCAGAAGGACCAGAAAAGTCAAATGGTGTTGTTCCAGATGATGTTGATGAGGTGTCTGTACCTAATCCATCTGGACTTGATGGGGTATAAGCTATTGACTCAGATTCAGCAGATGATGTCTTGGTGGTTGATTCAAATGGCGATGACATTTCTAGAGTTGTAGATATATAAGAATTTGATAGGGTGAGTGTGGTTGACGCTGATGCACTGGAAAATGAACAAGAATCAATTGCTCCTAACATTATTGTATACTATTTTGGAACCAATAATACTAAATACCCCATAGATACCTCATAAACATTTGGCACCACTTCCCATTTCCATCCAAGAATATATGGTAATATTTTGCTAGAAAATTGTATAGATTAAATGTATATATCTACTTATAACTGGCCATGTATTCTAGGTATTTTAAATGACAAATGCACTTTCTTGCATTCCGACTATTAAGAATACTAGTATTTTTGACACCTTACCACCTTATCTAGCAGTGATCCTTCTAAAATCAGTAGTTATATTTGGCTAATAACACAACTGATGGAAGGAACTGTAGTTTTGATACTTACGTGTGGTAGGTCGTGCTGCAGAATCCTCACAATAAGTCCCAAAGAAATTGTCAGGACAAATACACTTAAATCCATCAAATGTACCTCCATTCTGACATTGAGCTAAAAGAGAAATAATTAATATATTGTTAAATTGTTACTAAATTAACACCAGTTAAATCATGTGTTCTTGTTAATCATAAATCTTCTAAAATCAGTAGGTTGTAGAAATTTGAATATAAAATGGCTCACATTCATGGGTTTCAACTAACGATGGGTATAGTGTTCCCTGGTGAACAGTGTATAAACTGCAATTCCTTTTACCAAATGGATTACATTATTGATACAAATTATATATTGTTCTAAGTAGCACATAATTTTCTCTTATGGTTCTCTTTCACTATTTCTTTTTTTTTGCTTTTAATGTGTGGGAAGATCATGGGTGATTTTTGTTCCTTTGCTTAGAAGATGTGTTCCTTTTTGATAAGTTTTTCATTTTAATATGAATGAATTAAAATTGAATTTTTAATTACACCACATTTTCCACAGTTTTATTTCAGAGGGTTGAAACCCCGTGGTGGACCATCTCCAACAGATTGGTTCCACACTTCTTTAAAGTTTTTTTCTAAAATCAGAAGGTCAGTATAAACGCCAATCTAATTTGGCTAATAGCACAACTGATGGAAGGAACTGTAGTTTTGATACTATTTTGGCATCATTAATACTAAATAGCTCATAAACATATGACGTCACCTCCCATTTCCATCCAAGAATATGGTAATATTTTGCTAGAAACTTGCGTAGATTAAATGTATACCCTTACTTGCAACTGGCCATGTATTCTAGGTATTTTAAATGACAAATGCACTTAGAGGTATCTTCTGTTTATGCAATTCTTGCACTCCCACTATTAAGAATACTAATGTTTTTGCAGCTGATTTAGCACCTTAGCTAGCATTGAACCTTCTAAAATCAGTAGGTATATTTGGCTAATAACACAACTGATGGAAGGATAGTTTTGATACTTACGTGTGGTAGGTCGTGCTGCAGAATCCTCACAATAAGTCCCAAAGAAATTGTCAGGACAAGTACACTTTACTCCATCAAATGAACCTCCATTCTGACATTGAGCTAGAAGTGAAATAATTGTAAAAAAAAAAATTATAAAAAAAAAATAGGTTAAATTAACACCAGTTAAATCATGTTTTCTTGTTAATCATAAATCTTCTAAAATCAGTAGGTTGTAGAAATTTGAATATAAAATGGCTCACATTCATGGGTTTCAACTAACAATGGGGATAGTGATCCCTGGTGAACAGTGTATAAACTGCAATTCCTTTTACCAAATGGAATACATTATTGATACAAATTATATATGGTTCTAAGTAGAACATAATTTTCTCTTATGGTTCACTATCTCTTTTACTATTTCTTACATTTCTCTTTTAATATGTGGGAAGATCATGGGTGATTTGTGTTCCTTTGTTTAGAAGATGTGTTACTTTTTGATAGGTTTTTCATTTTTATATGAATTAATTAAAAGTGAATTTTTAATAAAACTACATTTTCCACAGTATTATTTCAGAGGGTTGAAACCCCGTGGTTCTGTGGTGGACCATCTCAAACAGATTGGTTCCAAACATCTTTTAAGGGTACAGTTTTTTTCTAAAATCAGAAGGTCAGTATAAGTGCCAATCTAATTTGGCTAATAACACAACCGATGGAAGTAACTGTAGTTTTGATACTTACGTGTGGTAGGTCTTGATGCAGAAACCTCACAATAAGTCCCAAAGAAATTGTCAGTACAAATACAGTTATATTTATTTTGTTTAAAAATAGGTTAAATTGTTACTAAAGTAACACCAGTTAAATATTTTTTCAAGTAATTTTGTAGAAATTTGAGTATAAAATAGCTCACAACACATGGAATTTTGCAAAAGAAAATTAAAGGTGGACACCTACTGTTAGACAAGTTAAAATCATTTATATCAACCCTTAACTTTGCATCCCAATGTATGTAAATGTCTCTTTGCATTGAACAGTAATGTACAAACCCGAAAATTAAACGTAATACAATAAACTTGTCCTTAACATGCTCATGATTCCAAGGCCCATCTTTATCCAGCACATAAGCATGATTCTCCAAGGCTCCATTCAGCAACTTTATATCTCTGTAGATAGATTGGAAATTACCCTTTATTTCACAGGAGTCATTATAGGTCTATTTACAGTGTCTGTATACTAGCATCCATAGTAGGGGAGAACAGTTAACGTAATGAGTATATTACAGGTTGCATTTTATGTCGATGCTGCCTTGTTTAGTATTGCTGTTTTAGCCATGCAAACACATTTAATCTATATGGACATTATGCTCACATATACAAATATTTTTTCACTCTGGTGGAAAACTCTCAACAACTCTACTCTTGTCCTGTCCACTGCTCTTATCCATACTGCTAGCTCATAAACACTTTTGGCCTATTCCTATGGAACAGTCTTCCTCCTCATCAGACTTTCTCCTAGTCCACGCTCCACTCTCACTTTCCAACTCTGTTGCTTTCCCATTCTCATTTTGTTGTTATCCATCATGCTGCCCTTCATCTTCAGTTTTTATACCCCATCTCCTCTATACTGTAGGCTTTTCAAGCAGAGTCCTCTCAACCATTTTTTTAATAGTTTGTCTTATTTGCTATTAAATCCACCCTTGATATTTTAAAGCACTGCAGAAATAAATGTTGACAATAATACAAATAAAATAGTAAGTGATGGTTTCATAATAGTAAGTGAAGGTAAATAACTCTAGAATGAGGTACACTCATTTTAATTCCCAAATATTCCCCTCTGTTTAAGTATTTTAGTAGCACTTCCTAATGAAACCATGTCTCCCCAGATTGTTTATTGCTTTAGCTTTGTTGTTTCTTATTATGTCGCAGGACAACTGTCTTACGGCTTTGGTGGGCTCTTCAATCATTTCCAAAAGATAAGTAAAACATATCTAGTTTATATTCCAATCTAGATAAAACATTGTTACAAAGTCCCCTCTGTCTGCTACAACCCTGTTAATTTGTTACTTATTTCCCAAAAAAAACAGTTTCAGGTCATTCGTATGTACAAATGAGCGACCACCCCGGCCCCATGGTGGCGGCCATCTTTAACTGTCGAACGGCCAGCGGGACCTGGTCGTCAAACGCCTGGTACTCTTTTCAGATACCATTTCATACAAACCCCATATGGATTTCTCAAGCCCGTCTGTTCATACATAAAATACCAAGAGCGTGCCGTTCGGTATTTTAAAACTACATACAGTGTACCGACCCCTTGCAGGACACTATGGCCGAGGGCTCCTGGACTAATAACTGCATAACAGCCCTCAGGACAATCTTTATCCCCATGACGTTCCCATACCATTCGTGAGATCTGAGCACTTTTCATATAGTTTGTGCGCTCAGATCCAAGCTGTCTGGGGATAGGTTGAATGTGACAATTAAAGAACATGTAAAAGTTATATATTTTTATTCAGTTTTCCTGTCTGTATAAAAGTTACAATATTGCATGTACCTGGAGATAATTGAGTTACTGTAACCGTAAATAATTATCTCCAGGCTAGGAGATAACCAGGTGACAATGTCACAACCAGGTGACATTGGTTGTTGCTTCTTGTCACCCTGTGTACCATCAGGTACAGAGGGGTGTGCCTCTGGCCTGAAAATGTGTATTTAAACAGTGCATTACCGATCTTAGCCTCGACTCGTGTTATAGGGAAATGCTTTATACTAGCTCTACCTATAGCTACCTGGATGTTCCACACTTATAGGATTATCGCTGGATGCTGTTTGGAGTTTCACTACTACTCTCCAGGATTGGGAACCAGGAAATCTAAGTGGTCCAACCCTCAGCCAGCCTGGGGTCAACCGTAACAAACATGTCTTCCTGTAGAATAAAAAACATTTTGGAGGGGCGGAGCGATGACGTGACATGTGTAGTGTGCGTACTCGTGGAATCACTATTCCCAACGAGTTTATAATCTCTAGAGAGAGTGTAAATAAACCAATAAACAAAATGGCCACTAAAAAGACACAGAATAGCAAGCATTTGAAAAAAGTAAAGAAACCACACCCTCCAGATAAAAAATCAAACCTGGAGGAATCTCTCTTGTCAAATATCCCAATAGGAGGAGATATAAATAAAGGACAAATGGAGGAAAATCAAGAGTCAAGAGAAGGAAGAAATGAATATCATCACCTACTTAGACACCTAGATACACAATTTGGGAAATTAAGAAAAGAAATCCAAGTTAATACCGTGGACATTAAGAAAGAACTGTTGACTCTTAACCTACAAATACAAGGGATAGAAGATAAACTAAATGGAATG